ACTCATTTGGCCTTTCTTCCATGTACACACATGGACAGAGAAATCTCTCTGTCCTCCTCTTCCTACAGAAGCATTAATCCCATCACGAGGGCCCACACCCTCATGACCAAATCTAATCCTAATTATGCTTCACCTACCAAATACCACCACATTCCACATTCCAGATTAGGGCTTCATTATATGAATTTGGGGGAGGGACACAAACATCCAGTCCACAACAATTGCACAACATTGTGAGTGAATTCAGTGCCACTGAATTGTACAATTAAATGGGAAAGTGCCAATGAAGTGCACAAAATAAATGTTCTTTAGAAAAGAAAAAAGGGTTAAATGGCAGGTTTTATGATATGTATTTATATGTTACCACAAATTAAAATTATTTTAAAAAAACCTTTATTCAGATTTTAGTGTGTTTTGGAATTGAGCTAAGTTAGATGTCTGTGTTTATGCCTCTCTGGTATTATTCCTTTTTTCTGTCAAAATAAACTCAAGGACAAGTTTGTAGTACAGTACAAAAAAATCCCCTCCGAGCTATTCAGGAGTTAAATTGCTAACCTGATGCCCCATTATCCAAATACTTCAGTATGTATTTCCCATGAACAAAGACATTCTCATTAATGTATGCAATAAAACCTTCAAAATCTGGAAGCCAACTTGGATACATTACTGCTCATTCATCCTCAGACCTGATTCATGTTTCGCCAGTAGTGTTGTTTTTTGTTTTTTATAGCAGTATGCTCTTTACAGCAAAAAGATACAGTCTTAAAACACTTATTCTACTTAGTTTTTCATGTCTCTTCAGTCTCCAGTCTGAATAGTTGTTCAGTCTTTCCTTGCCGTTCATGACACTGACACTTTTGAAGACTATGCCAGTTCAGTTTTTGTGTGGAATGTCCCTCAGTTTGTGTTTGTGTGATGCCTCTTTGTGGTTAGATTCAGGACAGGCATCGTTGGCAGGAATATCATAGAGGTGATACTGTGCTTTTGCACCCTCTTGGGTGACACATGATTTTGATCAGTCTGGGACTGAGGACTTTCACTCTGCTTATTTGATTAAGGCAGTGTCTGCTCGATTTCTTCACTGTAACGTTACTCTTTTCTCCTTTGTAATTAATAGGCATTTTGTGGGGAAGTACTTTGAGACAATTTAAATATCCCATTTCTCAAAAAAAGGTCAATTTATTCATTCACTTATTTCTAATTCTATGGATTCATGGTTTTCTGTATTATATAATGGACTATAATTTATTACCATTGGTATTTGTTTTGATGCTCACATTGTCCTAAATTTGGCCAGAGAGTGTACATTCAGACCAGCTTTTGTCCATATCATTCTCTGAGCACTTCCTTGCTTTGGGGCACAATAAGAAAGTCCAGCTCATCTTGTATTTTCTATGCCCCAGGCCTGGAACCACTCATTTCTCCAAGGAGCCCTGATTCCTTCTAGTCCTAAGTGACATTTAGAAGCTACAGTCTAGTTGTTAGGCTTATTGGGTGTTGCTGCTCCAGCCTCTCTAGGAGGACAGAATTAAGGAATATATTTTTCCCCCAAGTTTTACTGAGAAATTATTGCCATACATCACTGTATAAATTTAAGGCATACAGCATGATGGTTTGATTTCTATATATTGTGAAATTATTGGGGAATATATGTTTTATACACACATTTATTTCTATATCTATCTATAAAAATTGAAACCATGAATTCAAATGAATACCTCCAATTCTAATCCAACATTTCCTGCCTTTTCTATATTTGTAACTCCTTTAACCAAGAGTGAGAAATGTCACTTCCATTATCCTTAATATATTTACTTATTTGATCAGTTTCCCTGTGTGTGACCATCTCCCATCTCTCCACCACGTATCTTGCAGGGAAGCCCTCTTCTTCCTGCTTGGACTCTTGACTCTCACTCCAGGCTACCACATTCCCTACGTGGATACCCTTCTCTCCCCACAGGAATTCTGTAGTTTCTGTGTCTGTGTGCCTTACAATAGGCATATTCTACCTTCTTATCTCAGGGCTTTTATTTATTTGTCTTCATCTGTTTGGGCTGTTATAACAAAAATACTGTAGACCAGGTGGCTTATAAGACCAAGTGGTTTATAAACAACATTTATTTCTCATAGTTATGGAGGTTGGGAGTCCAAGATCAAGGTGCTGGCAGATTTGATGTCTGGTGAGAGCCTGCTTCCTGGTTCATAGATGGCAGTCTTCTTGCTGTGTCCTCACATGGTGGAAGGGGTTAAAGAAATTTTTTTTTTTTTGAGTAAAGTTAGATTTATTTAGAGAGATACGTACTGCATAGAGTGTAGGCTGTTTCAGAAGGCAGGTGAAAGGCCATGAAGTGTGGGGATGGGTGCTCAGGTTAAAGTAAAAGTAGATACACACTCCATAGACAGAGTGCAGGCTGTTCCCGAAGAGGAGGGGGCAAAAGAGGCGGCCACGTGGCGTGGTGTTGCCAGTTTTTATGGGCTAGGTAGCTTCATGTGCCTGCAAGTAGGAGGACTATTCCAACTACCCTGGGGAAGGGGCTGGGATTCCCAGGAATTGGGCCACCACCAACTCTTTGGCCTCTTGTGATTGGGGTGAAAGAAATCTTTAAGGTCTCTGTTATATATAACTTATCTGATTCATGAGGGCTCTACCCTTATGACTTTATCACCTCCCAAAGGCCTCCCCTTGAAGTACCATCACATTGGAGATTAGAGTTCAACATACAAATTTTGGGGAGACACAAACTTTCAGTCTATGGCAGCCCTTCTCGGGCAATGCCTTGTAGTTATTGTTTCCTAATGCTGCCAAATGCTTCTGGAGAGGCCAGAGTGGCCACTGTCAGGGATAAGTGGTTTATGACTTTGTGTAGGAGCCGGCTGAGGTTATCCCAATACCTTTGGGCCAGGTTATTTTAAGTTACAATAGACAGTTCGTGAGTTTCTCAACCAACTGGAGGCTCTTCCTACCTAAAAATCATGATTTCAGCAAAAGAGAAAAGAAGAGGTAAGTTAAAAGTGAACACCTGTTCTTCTAAAATTGCTCTACTGCAGGTACCAGCCCTAGAGAGTTGGCAGATGGTTTTGTGTTTCTAAGGCTGACCTTAGCAGCCCTTCATCAATCTTGAGCTGATTGATTCTCAGGAAAGAGGAGACTGGTTTCCCAGGATACTCAAGACACCTTTGATTTAGTTACTACCTGAAGACCAATTAATTAGTCCACACTGATTCTCTCAAGTTTTCCTAACAAAGCTAGGAAACACTGAGCACAGCCTGGCTGTAGAGGCTTTTTACTAGCTTGTTAATTACTGTCACCTTAGACATGGGTAATCCTAAAAGATAAAGCAAATAGGGTCATTCTGCACCGGGGAAGATTGGTGGTCTCCAAGGTCTGCAGCTATCTCGTGTTAAGAATCATAACATAAGAATCATGATTCCTATAGTCAAGGGGCTCCTTGTCTTTAAAAACTATCCACCCATAGAACTGCCACCCAACTGCTTCTCCCATTGCATCTTAACTCATACCTGCCAGAGGGAGCCTGTCAAGCATAAGCACTTACCACTTGACTCTCAGGCATTTTTTATTTTTTAAGTTTAGGAGTGTGTACTTAAGTTATTTTTAAGTCAAATGGGATTGTACTGGTTTTTTAAATGACATAGAATTAATTCAAAATCAACTCTCGACAGTCATATGTAGAATAGATAAACAAGATTATACTGTATAGGACAGGGAAATATATACAAGATCTTGTGATAGCTCACAATGAAAAAAAAATGTGACAATGAATATATGTATGTTCATATATAACTGAAAAATTGTGCTCTACACTGGAATTTGACACAACATTGTAAAATGACTATAACTCAGTAAAAAAAAAGTTTAAAAAAGAAAAAAATCAACTCTCAATTATCCTCTAGACAGATATCTGGGGATCTCACTCCTCTCACCCACTTAGCCAGTTCCCCTTCTTCTGTGTCTCACCTGGACCCATTTCTCTCCTGGTCTCTCCTCAGTCTTTGCTCTTCATCCCAGGCTAGGGCATAACTGGGAAGAGTCAGGGCTGGATATAGGGTTGTGTGGTTAATGTGATAAGAAGTAAAACAGTCTACTCATTTTAAAGATCAGGTACTCCCTGACTCTTCTCCTTTAAGAGGTTAGCCCAAGTTGACTTTTGCTACTAAGAACTTCCTCTCCATAACAGATGTTATTTTTTGGCAGTGTTAAAAGGTAAACTGAGGCATATGTAGAAATTTTTAGGAGTTTATTTGAGCAAAAATCTATTCGAATCAGGCATTGCCAAACCATAA